AAAGAGACTCGGCAGAAGGAGCGCGTATCCCCCAAACCGTCGAGAGGGCGAGGTCTGGACCCCAGGTGCTGAAACCGCAGCCCGGAGAGGAGCTCAGAGTTCGCAGCGCCCCCGGGGAAAGGGCAGGTTCTGGAGCTCGTCCCCGGAGCTGCAGGGAGGATGGCGAGGCAAGAGTGGAGCGCGCCGGGGCTGGGGCGCCGTGGGGTCGTGCGGGTTCAGCGCGCCCCGGCCAGTGCTCCCGCGCCTCTACTCACCTCTCCGAACTGGAAGGCCGAGACGATGGTGACAACGACGCCCACGAAACAGACGTAGAGCCCATACCTGTGGGACAGGCAGGTATAGGTCTGTCTCTGCAAGAGCTTGAGCAGCATCACCCCGGCCGCCGACACACCGCGCCGCGCCCGAAGGGCCGGAGACGTCGCCGCCGCCGCCGCCGCCGCCGCCGCCGCCTCCTCACTTATTGACAAAACAGAAATACACTCACAGACATAGAAAACAAACTTATGGTTACCTAAAGGGAAACGTGGGGATTTCCGGGAGCCGGGAGCCCACGCCCTCGGTGCGGCGGAGGCGGTCGCGCGGCCCGCTAGGCGGCCGGCGCCGCCCCAGTCTAGCCCAGCTAGAGACGGGGTCGGCAGCGGCGGCGGTGGGAACAGCAGCGCCACCTGCAGGGCGGAGGGGCGGAGGGCAGCCGAGTGCCCTCCCCGATTGCGCGTGCGCCGCGGGCTCTCTCGGCCTGGCTGGGATCCTCGAAACCCGGGCGGGCGACCGGGCCGGGGCTGGCCTCTGCAAGGAGGCCGCGACCCAGACGGTGCCATATTGACACGAATGTTTTGGTGCACAAAACCCTTCCTGCGTTTACAGTAATTGGGAAATCATGGTTTTTCACAGCCCTAAGAGGAGATGCTGTTATGGGCCTCCTTTCCTCTCTGGCTGTCTAACCATATTGTTTGAAAGAGGAAATTTGGGGGCTAAATGTGCCAAAACCTAAATTTATTCATTTATTTATTAATTAAATATGTATTTAGTGTCCGGTGCCTGGCATGGTGCTTGGTGTTGGATATTCAAAAATGAGCTAGGGCTTCCCTGGTGGTGCAGTGTTTAGGAATCCGCCTGCCGATGCAGGGGACACGGGTTCCAGCCCTGGTCCGGGAGGATCCCACATGCCGTGGAGCAACTAAGACTGTGCGCTACAACTACTGAAGACCGCACGCCTAGAGCCCATGCTCTGCAGCAAGAGAAGCCACCGCAATGAGAAGCCCGCGCACCGCAACGAAGGGTAGCCCTCGCTCGCCACAATTAGGGAAAGCCTGCACACAGCAACGAAGACCCAACACAGCCAAAAATAAATAAATAAATATTTTTAAAAAAGAACTAGATTTGGCCGCTGTTCCCAGAGAGTCTAGTTGGGGAGATAAACACATAAACCACTAAATACAAAAAAAGTTGTTATGATAGAAGTCATGCGATGTACTGGAAGTCATGCGGGCAGGAGCCCATGCAAAGGGGGTCAGTTACTTCTACTTTGGCACCAGATGATTTCTAGCAGGGCCTTCAGGTAGAAGAGGGGGTTTAGACAGTACCACATAATGGAATAAAACCAGAGGTCTTAAGACTCAAGGGGTTTGCAATGACAATATTTCATTTCAAGATACACTTTTTTCTCTCAACATTCTATTAACACTCCTGGTGTCTTTCCACCCCTCATCCCAGGAGAAGAGGGAGGTACCTGACTGGTGAGGTTGCAAGGAACTGAGCTTCTCTGCCAGAGACAGGAGTTCTGATCCCCTATCTGCCAAGTACAGGAGCACCTGTGTCCCAGCCTGGGCCTGGGCTTAGAAAGTCTGTCTTATTCAGGGAGAAAATATTGGCTGCCCACTTGTCTGAAGAGGTGAACAACATTCTCCAATTAACTCTGTCAGTACTAAAGCTGACGCTTTGATCTCCATCTCTCTGTACGTATACCACATTCTCAGTGGTTTTGAAACTTAGGAGACGAGAATGCTTTAAGTGTTGGGCTCCAAAACACCATCCATCTCTGAGTCACCTTTTGCTCAGTCTTGATGAAAAATGAGCAACCAAAATAAACAATCCTACACAAAGAAGAGCCTCTTGCCCTGGGCCTGCAAAACATAAATGTTGAATATAGAGATGGTGTATTTGGAAGGCCTTACCTTAAGCTTGATAAGAAAACTGAACCTAAACAAAGAGCTTGAACTAGCTGATTAAGCAAAGTTGAAATAACTCCTGATACATCTATATTTAGCTGAGTCCTTGCTTTACTCAAGGTAAAAAGTTGTTAAAATAAATAAATTAAAAAGTAAAATAAACTGTTCACATTATGAAATGCCTTTACTTTTCAGCTTTAGGTTTGAAATACTTGCTTGTTGTCAGACAACATACTTTAATTTTGTCCCCTGCCTCCTTTCAGGATATACAGTGTGTGTTCATAAAACACAGGTCAGTTGTAAATGACCTCATGCCTTTCTTTTTTTATCCTAAAAAAGAAAGCCAGGGCAGCTTTTAATTATTTTGCAAAATATCAAATAAAACAAAATTATTAAGAAATTTCGTTCCTTCTGATAGAATTCCAAGAGCCAAAACATAACATGGCCCACTGTTTATTTTTGTGAATGCAAATATATCATGTACACATAAACAAATATACATGTTTTTCTCATTAGTGTGAACATACATTATTCTATTTACCTGATTTTTACTTGTGGGTTTTTTGGTAGGTTTCATCTATGCCATACAGGCATCATAAAGGCAAGAGATTTGCCCATCTTATTCATAACTGTATCCCTACCCTTAGTATTGTTCCTTGCCTGTAGTAGCCAATTGATAAAAATTATTGGATGAATGTATATATTTTGAACTGATAAAAGTATCAAGTACACAGTTGGAATTATTGAAGTTTTGGTGAGTTGAATTTCAATATGTTGTTAATGGAAACAAGAATATTATGGGGCTTCCCTGGTGGCGCAGTGGTTGAGAGTCCACCTGCCAATGCAGGGGACACGGGTTTGTGCCCTGATCCGGGAAGATCCCACATGCTGCGGAACAGCTGGGCCCGTGAGCCATGGCCGCTGAGCCTGCGCGTCCAGAGCCTGTGCTCCGCAACGGGAGAGGCCACAACAGTGAGAGGCCCACATACCGCAAAAAAAAAAAAGAATATTATGAAGAGCACACCAAAATTTTGAGGTAGGACTCACTTTGAAAACTGTCTGGACCTAGATCATTTGGGCTGGGGGATTTCCAGAAATGTACTCAAGTCATCTAGGTTTTTAAATTTCTGTTATGTTTATTGTTATTTACTCTGTTTCATTTTGTATATTACTTCTTCGTCTGTCTCAATTTTTTCCTAGGTTTTTTTTTTTTTTTTTTGGCCGCACCCAGGGTGGGCATTTTTGTGCCCAGACCAGGAACTTCAGCAGTGAAAGGAAGGAGTCCTAACCACTGGACAGCCAGGGAATTCCCTTCTCTGTTGCTCTTGAGCTAGTTGTTTTAGTCTTTATTGTTTTTCATAAATGTTCCAAAACTATAAGCTTCCCTCTAAGTACTAATTTTATTGCATCGCATGAATGTCAATATGGAATGCAGGTGCACTCTGGGAGGTGGGGCTCCACTGCATATGCCCTGCCTGGGGCGCACGGTGTCCACATCAGGGGAAGCGAGGCAAGATGGTTCCAGACCTAGGCTAAGGTGGTAACTTGGGCTCTCTGGATGTTCATGGATGGGGAAGAGCACCACTATGTCCCCACACACTGGTACACTAACCCACCAGGCAGCACGTGAAAGAAAAACCTAAAACCACCCTCTGGAATCAGGAAGCGCCCCCTTCCTCCTGCAATATGCCTCCAGCGCCCTCTACTGGCAAAGTTTAGCAACATAATCACTAGAAAGGAGAAAGGCTTAGAGTCCAAGTCCAAGTCCAAGTCCAGTATTACGGAGCCCGTTCTGAACGGTTGAAGTCGGAGCTGAGAGGCAACAACTGATAACTGGCACATCCCTGAAACTAGGGTTCCAGGTGTAATTTAGATTCTCCTAATAAGATGAATTCACAGAAGATTTTAATCCGGGAGTGACATGGGGTGAGAAGCTGGGCAAAGGGCACCTGTTTTTTGCCAGTGAGTCAGTGCAGGTGTGATTTCGTTCTGAAGCCAGCACTGCTGGAATTGGCTTCCTGTCTCTGTAGCAGATGTCCTGGTCTGCTCTTACCCGACGGTGGCAGAGTCCACAGCTCCCTTGTAGCTCAGTTCAGCTGAGGTTTGGGGAGCACTTCCTACAAATTCAACATAAAATCTTTGTTCATCCCTCCTAATGGTTCATGGATGAACCAACTGAATCTTTTTCTGTTTAAATCAATGAGTAGATGTTTTAGTCTACAAATAACGATCTGACCAAAACAAGGTAAAAGAATGTATTTCATATGATATTGACACTTTGGAATTCATAGAGGCTTCCTTTGTTGCCTAGTACATGGTCAATTTTTGTGAAAGTTTCAGGTTTGCTCAAAAAGAATATATATTCTCTCTCTCTCTCTCTGCCCACCCCGCTCCAGCTCCTATACTTCCCCATTTAAGTTCTCACGAGCTATCCATTTAACTACAGGTTCCAACTATTTCCCAGGATCAATATCAAGCCCACCATGATATACTGTTACAAAATCTACCTACCTGCAAAAGCTAACTCCTACCCTTCTGTTTGACAGTTGTATCAATTTCCTGATCCTCACATCTTTGGAACTTTCTGATCTCCATGATTTTTTTTTATTGGTTTTTAGTTTTCTGCTCCTTAGAGCCAAAGTAATGAGCACTCAACATACATATTTTATTTATTTATTTTTGGCTGCATTGGGTCTTCATTGCTGCGCGTGGGCTTTCTCTAGTTGCGGTGAGCGGGGGCTACTATTCGTTGTGGTGATCGGGCTTCTCTTTGCAGTGGCTTCTCTTGTTGTGGAGCATGGGCTCTAGGCATGCGGGCTTCAGTAGTTGTGGCATGCGTGCTCAGTAGTTGTGGCGCACGGGCTTAGTTGCTCTGCGGCATGTGGGATTTTCCTGGACCAGGGATCCAACCTGTGTCCCCTGCATTGGCAGGCGATTCTTAACCACTGTGCCACCAGGGAAGTCCCTCAACATAGGTATTTGATTATCCGTAAACACTGATTATCTAACTCATTGCAATGTTAAGTGCATAATTAAATAGGAAGACTTGTATCTTACACAGTCTGCCTTCTAGAAGATTGGCAGGGGTTACTCCGATATTTTGCTACAGTGCTTTGGCTAATGCTCTAAATTTATTATAGTGACTGTTACCAATCTTAAGGAAACAGTATAAATCCAAGTGATACCAACTATATAGTTAAGGGCACCAAATTCCAGAATTAGTTTATCTGAACTGCAAATATCACAGTAGAAGGCAATATAACTGATGCCTCTGACAT